TTTCCCCGCATGTTATGACTTTGACGAGTTTATGAATATTTTTGGAAATATTGAGCCTTACGATATACTTATGGTTTCGGTTTTATGATCATGATGTCCCTATTCCTATAACTTTTATGTTGTTAAGCATTGTTTTCCATACCTTACATATTCATTACTTTCCAAGTACTGACCCCTGTATTTTCAGGATCTGGTTCGCAGGCTCAGTATCATCTCTAGTTCGTGCTCAGTTCTGCTAAATCTCCAGTGGTGAGTCCTCATGATCTGAGGGCTTCATGTTCGGACTTGTTAAATTATCTTATATTTTCCAAATGTTTGGGTTAGTTGGGATCTTGTCCCTTCAACCCGTCTTTTTATGATTAGAGGCTTTCAGAGTTATGTGTAGTATTTTGTCATTGATGGATGTATTTCGGTTTGTTGTTCCTTACAATTCATGATACGATTTTCAGTTAGCTTATGATTGATAAGTTAAGTATTCTGCCTTTTATGAATTAATTAGTATTATGCTCACGCCATGGGTTGACTTGGGGTCTCTCGGGGCTCCTTGTCCCGTGTCTACGATCAGGGTGTACTCTCGGGTCATGACAGTTGCTCGGCTTTGAGCCTCATGAAGAAAAACTACATGATGTGAAGGATGGGGACAAGCTATGGATGCTAATATCTATTGCTAATGTGATGGGTTGTTCCTCTGCATGTACTCCTTCATAAATGTTCAAAATTGTTTATGCTTATAACACAAGGGGCAGGCTCTCGCCTCCTTTTCATTTTTAAAAAAATGGTGTGTCTTAACTTTATGAGGGGCCCCATAAAGGTATGATTGAATTAATGGGTGCAATGATTTTCTTTTTAGTATCTTTGAAGGATTGTATATGTATTGCCATTAAGAACTATGATTTTATGATTTATAAAGCAGGTGCAAAAATGAGAGCATCAGTTTTGTAATAACTGTAACTCTAAAACATTGGGATAGCGCTTCCTGTCTTATGCATGAGTTTTTACTTAAATGTTACCTAGTCCATGGTTTACCATGTCTCTTGATAATGAAGAGCAACCACAATTCCTATATACAAATATTTAAATATTGTAGGTTAGGTTCAGTTGGTTAGAGCATGTGTCTGTTAACCATAAGGTCGGAGGTTCAACCCCTCCTTCTAGTGTTGTGTTCTCCATTTATTTACACTGGGTATGTTGTTATTGTTGTACTGGGATATGAACAACAATGTTTAATAATGGAAAAGAACTCTCGTTTCAATTTGACCTTATTCTGATTTCCTAGATTATCATGTCTGCAAAGACATCCAATTAAATATAACTTTTTTCTTGATGATCACTAGTTTTACATGCTTATTCAACTTCATAAACATTTCTACATCTCATGTTATGTCTGTAATGTGATTTCTGCATGTTCCCTTTATGTTAGAAAATAGCATGGCTGGGAATATTTTACATGTGTATACCAACAAGATTGCTGTTGTTATGTATATGGAGAATGGGTAAGCTCACTTTAGTTGCTATGAGTTAAGATTTTCTTGTAGAAAGTATATTTTGTGGAGCATGCCTATCGTAGATTGGAAGTTCTTAATTGGCGTTGGGTATTTAGGATAGAGGCATTGTTGATGCTTCCTTTTTTAATTTTAGGTTTTGTGATGAAACCATTTCAATTGAAAGGTGATGTAATATTAATAATTTGGTCCAATGCATTTTCTAGACTTTCTAAATATGTTTCTACAGGGTTCTCGCACACCGGATCAAAAAGACCATTGATTTCTGTGCAGACTTCTTTCCTAGAAGTAGCTAATGCCTGCTATCACTCATATGTTTTCATTTCACCTTGTCTACCTAATTCAACAGGGTTCACGATTCTTGTCCTAACTTATAAGATTCCTTTACCTGGATGATGCTCTTGGGAGGTGCATCCTCCCAAATATGTAAATCTGTGAACAAGAATGTTATTTGGCTCTTTTCTTTTACAAGCAAATGCGTTGCCAAGAACTGAAAAATCACAAATGAAGATCGCATATCAAAAGATAGCAATTTTGTTAGGAGAAGTTATTGTTTTGCACACATAAAATCTGAACTGCTAAATAGTACTAGAAGTTAGGTGGATGTATACAAGTAAAATAAGAGAATGACGTTTGAGGTGCTTTCACCATGCCCTAGATAGATGTCTAGAGAATCTCTTTTGTTTGTGTAAACTTGAAGGTAAATAGTATTGATCATTCCATGGACTTTGTTAGCTCCTTGATTTATACTGAGTGCTTATAGGAGTATTGTACATGAGCTATAGTTTTGCTAAGCTCCTGTATCTTTTAGCACCTTATAGATGTAGTTTAAAGAAACTTACCTCATTTTGCTTGATAAAAGAAATGTTTTTTGACATGTCCTATGTACATATCCATATGTGCTAGTAAGTAGGAGCATTAATATCATGACATAAGGTGATACTCTTCGGTGGCGGTAAGTATGAGCATCAATATCATGGCATAAGGTGACAATTGGGGACAAGGTAAATCTATTCTAAGATTGTTCAAAGAAGTAGTCTAAAAAGACTTAATCTCCCAAATTTCAAGCTAATGTACTAAGGAAAGAACACGCAGTAAAGATCTACAAAGTACTACCAACTAATTGAGATTAATACAGTCATTGTTATACTTAGACTACATCAGGTGCTTGTCAAGATCGACCAACTAGTTACAGTTGTATGTTCACGAGGGATAACTGTGAAATTTAAAGAACTTCTAGCTTTAGAAAATCCTTAATTTGCCTTAAACTTTTCTGCCTCAATCTGCTGGGCATGAACGATGAGGCTGGAGGTCAATGTCTTTAATGAGCATGGCGATCCTGCACTCCTTAAGTACCAGATTTGAACTCTGATGAAGAATATAAGCATGTGAGCCCTTGGCTCGGCTACCATCTCTAGAGCATACCTCGTCAGCCGAGTGTGCTCCAACATATACTCCACCACGGTCCTGTTACCCAGCTTTAAATTCATGAACTCTGTGACCTTAGCCTCCCTCAACTCTCAAGGGAAAAATCTATCTAGAAATGCTGTGGTGAACTCTACCCACTCTACTGGCCCTGTTGCTGTTGGCCTCTCTTCCTTCCGTTGGTTGTACCAAATCTGAGCTACCGCTTTCAACTGGTAGGCAACCACATCAGCACTCTCTGCAGAACTAACACCCATAATCCGGGTGATCTTCCACACCTCATCTATAAACTCCTGCGGGTCCTCTCCTACCTTGGATCCATGAATAGCTGGAGGGCTCATTCGGGTGAAGTCCCGAACCCTAGCGGCTACCGCAGACCCATTTGTATTCACCGGAACCACCTGATGGTTCACTTGGTTAGTTACTGTCTGAGCTAGCAGCTGGATTGCCGCTCAGAACTCTGCTGAGGACACTTGGTCATCCTGAAGGCTGCTGGAGCTGGTGGGGCAGGTCGGTTGGCATTGCCAGCCCTTCTTCTATTTCCTTGTTGTGGAGGCATAGTTTCACTGAAACAAAATAGAGTATGAGTTAGGAGAACGTTTCTGGAATTGAACTTCATCACACGATAAGGAGTATGAACAAAGGGGAGTTTTTCTAATAACGTCTCATAGCCTCCCCATCATAAGTGTGGTGTGCTTCACATCCATGAAAAGGACTCTACTTGACGCGACTTTTGGATATCCTAGGATACTCTAAACCTAGTGCTCTGATACCACGTTTGTCACGACCCAAGTCTATACCCTGGACGGGACACGGTACTTGGTGCCACAAGTGACACGAAGCTAACCTATGGCTTATCATTACACTGGTAAACTGAGTAAACATAAGCGGAAGCTTCATATAAACTAATAAAGTAATCAATACTATTGAAAGTTTAAACATAACGGGTAATAATACCAAACAACTGTGCCTGAAAGCCACTACTAACTAATGATTACTAGGACAAACCCTCAGCTAACTCTAAAGTTTTGATAGAAAAGAACTAACTGAAAAACAAATAACGTCCTCGAAAGATGAGGACTCACCAAACGGACTGCTGCTGCTGGAATCGTCGAGAGGAACTATTGACGATGTTGGGACTGAGAACTTGTGCCTGTATTATAATACGATACAAAATGGAAAGTATGCATCATTACTTTGAATGTACTAAGTAAGTGAGAGATATAATAAACATGAAAGAATAAGTAACTGTGCTGAAATGATGAAATGACCAACTGAAAACTGAAAATTGATAACACTAAACTATAATTGATAAGATCAGTAATGACCCTGGCTGATGGTCAAAAATATATCCTAGAACTGAGCTAAACTGAACTGTACTGAATTGAATTGAATTGAACTGAACAGAACTGACGAGTGGGAGAGTCTATAACCGACATATAACCACGTGAGCTAAATGTGGAGTTCAATGTATATTCCCCATCGATAGGACCTAATATGCCTTGCTAGGGTATAAAGGCATGAATTGGGTGATCACAAATCTGGGGCCCGATGGGCCAATAACCTATGGTGGCAACATAGTTCTGGGAATCTGGGTGTGCTGGAACCCTGGTCCACTCAGTGCTATGTACTACTTCGACTAGATAAATCCTAATTTGACTACTAAGCTGATAGCTAAAAGTTGGGGCCCAAGACTAAGTCAGGAATACTTATCTGGAAGTACCATGAAAATCTTATTGGACTGAATACTGTAACTGGTGTTCTAGGACTGGTCAGAGTTTCTTATCTGAAAGCATTGTAACTGTCTGTAGAACTAACTAATAATTGATAACTGATACTGATAACTGATAATTGGGAGGCATTACTGACACCTCAAGAACTGACTATAGTTAAACTGATCATCTCACATTACTGAAAGATACTGACGATATTAACATCATGACCAAAACTGAGCTAGCATGCAACTGATTGAGAATTTCATCTAATAGTAATAACATGGAATTTCCAATAATGATAGAGTCAAGAAACATTATGTCTATACAATTATGCAGGACCCTAGTTACTACATTTATCGAATTAGGGGTAAAGTCACTTTTCAGGAAACAAGTATCAACATGATCACTAGATAATGGAAATATAACAACAAACAATATGAACAACATTTAACATGATTTAATCTGAACATGACCGAAAAATTCCTCAAATTTGAAAGTCTTAGGGCTTAGAACTGATAAGAAAACTTAGATGAATTTTGGGGCACAAGGGAAGGACAATTCCCTTGCTAAATTCTCACATACCTGGTGTAGAAATCCAGGAGAAAAACCCTTGAGAAATTGAAAAGAGAAGTCGAATGCCCTAGCTTTTCCCTAAGGAGTCTGTTTGAGAGTTCTCCATACTGAGTCTGAGTGTTGAGAGAAGGAATGAGAGGATTACGTAGATCACTCCTTTAATCCTCTCCTAAACGTGCCCAAAATTACGTAGTTTAGAGACTAGGAGTTTAGGAAATTAGGGAAAAGTCCTTAAAAATTTCGCAGAAAAATCACACTGCCAGTCCCAACGAGGGACTGGACGATTCGATGTTACTAACCCTGACTCGTGGTCTGTCTCATTGCCAGCACTAGAAATTTCTCATCACGGGTCTCCACGAGGGACACTACGACTCGTGGTGACTAGTCGTTGGGAACACTGCCAACTTTTCAACATCCAAGGCAAGACCTTGACCACGACCAATCTAACAACTCGTGGTTGACCACGCCTCGTGGCTTCACCCGTGGTCGTCCCTAAAACGAAAAATCCAACCAAGCTCATCCTCCTCCCCATGAGTAACCTAACGACTCGTGGTGCACCTCACGGGTCACTGGACGACTCGTCCTGTGACCTGGTGCAGAATGTCCTATTTTCTCCATTTCAACCCTCAAGTTTGATCTTAGGGCTTTTGGGGTATTATAATATCTCCCTCTTGGGAACATTCATCCCCGAATATTGGTAAACTCACTAAGAATATAAGAAATGTAATCATCATACCAAATACTGAACATTTAGAGCTGATAATTGACGGAGTGACTGACTTCGGAATGAACTACATGGCTAAACTGAATTCATGAACCACATATACATACATTGACATGAAAGAAACTTGGGGCATATGAACTGAACATGAAAATGAATAGAGTACTAAGGAGGATTTTAATAACCGATGTTGAAACTGAACTGGAAGGGAACAAATGAGC